CAACGAAAGATTCGATCGAACAGGATTCCTCTATTTTTATACAAGTACGGACTTATAGCTGTTAACCTAACAGAACTACAAGTTTAACAGCTTATCTCAGATTGAAGAACTTCTAAGAAAAGTTGGATGCATGCCGACAGAATAGCGCGAGTAGAACATAAAGAAGAAATAAAAAATAAATGGCGGCTGTTCGTCTGGAACCAACAGGGCGAGACTTGAAACCGCCTGCGATCGTTAACAGAAGATCCCACGGTATTCTTGCTCCAAGAATTCACTCACTCAACCTGTCAACAAACAAACTGACGCTTTCACACAACCTGAAGACTCGTCCGCCCTTGTGTTTACAGAATCACGCCATTTACCTCTACCGCCAGCCAGTCGAATCCAATCTACACATTCGCACTGTGTTCCTCTACAACGAGCGACTGCTTATAGGGTGAGAGATAAGGCAAAGAAAAGCACCGAAACTCCCATACTTGCACCATAGAGCCGAATCATTCCTGACTAGCCAACAGTCTCTCAGTCACTCAAGAAATTCCCAACATTTTATGGATCCCAAAGGTTCATTACCTTGTTCATAATATCCCACCACTGGTTTATATTCTAAGCCACATTAACCCAGTTCATACCACTCAATCCTATTTCTCTAAGGTCCATTTTAATATTATCCTCCAACCTACGTCTAGTTCTTCCTAGTGGTCTCTTTCGTTCTGGTTTGCCCACCAAAACCCTGTATGGATACATTCTCTTCTCCCCCATGCGGGCTACATGCCTTGCCCATCTCATATTCCTTGACTTGATCAGTCTTAATTATATTTGGCGTGGAGTACAATTTATGAAGCTCCTCAACACCATGTTTCCAAACACCCTCAGTCTAGTGTCAGAGACCAAGTTTCACATCCATACAAAACTGCAGGCAAAATTATAGTTTTGTATGTATTAATCTTTACGTTTTTAGGCAACAGACGAAAGGTTCTGAACTGAATTACCCGAATTTAATCTGTTATTAATTTCCTCATTCATCAAATTTTGATTTGTTGCAATCGCTCCCAAATATCTGAACTTTGCCACATTTCCAAAGGTTCCATCAGCTGTCTTTATGTTACGGTATTGCCCTGCATTTTAATGACGAGACATCAACATATACTTATTTTTCTCTGTGTTTACTTGTTAATTAGAATTTTTTTTTTTTTGTGGTACTTATGTGATCCCCCAATAAATTTACATCAACAACACAGACCAGAAGCTGATGTATCCCATTAAATTTTAGTCCCACCTGGCTCTTTGCATATTCTAAAGCAAAGTTGATAAGCAATGGTAATAAAACATCTCCTTGTTTTAGAACATTTAGATCTATGTGTTAATTTTAATCAGAGACAGTTCTTGTTTCATGAATCATCTGTTATACACCCAGCCTGTTCTTTCTTAGGCTTATACTGAATTATTCTTGTGTACGTATAGCGAGGATAAGTTAGTATTTGTCACTCATAAAAATTTCTTGACAGCAGTCTGTCTGTACTAAGTCTGCAATAAATCCACCAGCCA